AGAAACAAAGAATTTTAATAAAATTTACATTAACAAATGTTATCTTTTACATTGTGCATGGCAACGCTGTGAGTTTGAAACCACAAGCGCGTAATGTCTTATTCATTGTTGGCAACACTGGAATCACGGCAAATTGTCACCGTCCTTGATTCACGTCATCAGTTTCCTCGTTTCCGTCAGTCGTTGTGGTTGGTTTTGTCGAAACGAGTAATTTGCTGTTAAGGCTGTTTTAGCAGTTAAAGCACACTGAGATTTGAAATTAGCCTATCACTTACTTTTCTACATTGCTTACGTCAAACCATCTTTACTCAGTGGCGCCGACCGACGGGTAGTTTAATGACAACAAATGCATTATTCTCCATTAAAATTAGTTTTAACACGAACTAACTGACGGTAGGGTACTACGGTAGTTAACTAACGATAAAACTAAGCGCCAATGATTTTCACACTAGAACGTGAAACGTCACACACAATAGTGAAACTCATGATACTATGAACTAAAGATAAACCCACGCACGCGCGATCAGTCGTGTGACGTCACTTGGCGACAAATATCACCAGAAATGTTCTGTGTAGTATGGAGTTTTGTCAGATTTAGTATTGTTTTATCATTTATCTAGTACGTTGACAAATAAATGTGTGCACTTTAGATAAAATATATTTATTTTAAAATAAAATATACAGTGATGAGTGCTTTACCACCCGGCTTTTTAACGTAAGAGATATAAAACACAGTTACCTTGTGAAATAAAAAGAGATGAAACTCGTAAAGGTGGGAAATAATCGATAGAAACCTATAATTTACATTACATTGCATTACCACCATCGATAGTCTCACACTTTTAGACGTTAGACGTGGCTATTTGACTTCAGTCATAATTATACCGATAACCTCAAAAATATTTTATTTTAATAATTTCTGATGTTAGAATAAATACTTGAATAAATTAAGATATATTATAGTAAAAAACATTCATTAGTAGCGATTTTAAATTAGAAATATTTGTTTATTTAATAATAAAAATAACTCAACTGAAATGTATGTGGAATTGGTGTAGTAGTTAGGGACGTTGTCTATTGACGAGAAAATTGAGGTTCAATTCACACCAAGGATAAAATTTTTGTTTTATCAATCAAAAAATAATAAAAAATATGATACATATTAGGTAACAAATTTTCGAAAAACTCATTATTTACTGTTTATTTTTATTCTAATGTTATAAAACGGAAATACAAAATAATTCAAATTCAATTCATACAGTCTTCAGTTATGAATGCAAAATAATCCGGTGAAGACTGTTTATATAAAATCCATCACTAAATTCTCAATGTTAATATCAATTCCTCTGTACAGGTAATGATTTTCAAAACAATTGACAATTGTAAATACGTTTATTTACAATATTTTTTTATTTTTGCAGAATTTTTACTTATTTAAACATTCTTTAAACGTTCTTTTAATTTTGAGAAATATTTACTTTATTTTCGAATGTACGACGGACACTTTTTTCAATAAGATATTTATGTTTAACTTTAAACACTTCTAATACTAGTAACGACTGACATAAATGTTCAAAAGCAAAACGATCTCTGCATAATTTCAAATTATTAAAAAAAACACATGTAGGTTTTGAACTCTAATCGTCTGCACCGCAGTGTCGAATTCTTACCACTAATTCACGATGGATTGATAATTTGATAATCCTAACCCAAAATCGTAGTAGAAATTATTTTTGGTTAATAATTTAAAACTTTAGATTAAATTTAAATAAAAATTTAGATAAAATTAATTTAGATTAAATAATCACTATTAATTAAATTATTTTATTCACATTTTTACTTTATTGTGGTCAGTTTTTACTTTATGCGAAATTAAAAAATGGAAATACGTCACACATACGACGTCAAATATAATAATTATGACCGAGGTGATTTAGCTCGAAGCTAACGTCTAGAGGTGTGAGACTATCAATAGTGGTAATATAATGTAATGTAAATTATAGGTTTCTATCGATTATTTCCCACCTCTACGAGTTTCATCTTTTTTTATTTCACAAGGTAACTGTGTTTTCTATCTCTTACGTTAAAAAGCCGGGTGGTAAGACACTCAGCACTGTATTTTATTATCTATTTAAATTCTATTAATTTACATTGCTAGGCTAACAGAGATATAAGTATATATACCACATTTTTAAAGTTTTAACTGCATATATTTTACCTAACATCCCTAAATATTCTAAATATTTAAATAAAAACCCTCTCTTTTCATATATGTTTTACCGATAAGTGGAATTTTTATCACCAAGTGACGTCATGCGCATCGACGTACAAGATTCGGTTGCGAAGTGGGTTTATCTTGGAAGTCATAGTATCATGAGTGAAACTATAGTGTTACAAACGTAACACGTTTCACTATTTTATTTTTTAGCAATTTTCTTCAAAGTTGGAACACGCTTTTCTCGATTATTACTGGACACAAAAAGGTGAAAAAAAATCCAACGATTACAGAAAAAAAAAACTAGTGATGGGCGTAAAAAGTTTGGTTATAATAGAACGTTAAACAGTATAATCCAATTTTTCAACAGAAGTTTCAAAAAAATAAAAAAAAGTAAAACCATCATTTTAAAGGCAGCATAGTTTCGAATATTGTGTCCAAATTTCAAGACATTTTGTCGGCAAATAACAGAGAAAACACTGTCCCTAGGTTTTGGTGCACCGATAAAACAGCCTTAAGGATTCGTGCTAGTTTTTGCATATAAAAAATGGATAAGTGGCTTAAAAGAGACAACGGAACATCTGAAAATCCCGGTCAATCGAGCTCCACTTCAGAGTCGGAACCTATACAGGGTGATGACAAAAAGAGTTCTTTCAAAAAACTAAAAGTGGCGGTTAGGAAATATTATCCTGAATACATCAATATGGGATTTACATTCACGAATATAAATGATGAGCCAAGGCCCCAATGTGTAATCTGTTCGGAAATTCTTAGTGTATGAAACCTTCGCTATTAAAACGCCACTTCAATACAAACATTCTTCTTCTTCTTCTGGTTCCTATCCGTTTCGGATGTTGGAAATCATATTGGCAATCATAACCTTGCTCGCTGCGGCTCGAAACAGCTCCGTTGAGGTTTTCTTAAACCATGTTCTTAAATTCCGCTGCCATGATATTCTCCTTCTACCGGGTCCTCGCTTACCTTTGACTTTACCTTGAAATATAGACTGCAGCAGGGAGTAACGGTGCTGATTTCTCATAACGTGTCCCAGATATTGCAATTTTATGAGTTTGATCGTAAACACAATCTCTGGTTCCTTCTTAGTTTTTCCTAGAACTTCCTTGTTCGTGATCCTTGCTGTCCATGATATTCTCAGCATTCTTCTATAAAGCCACACCTCAAATGCTTCAAGTTGTTTAATAGTGGTGTCTGTAAGCGTCCATGCCTCCGCTCCGTACAACAACACAGAGAAAACATAGCATCTCAAATGTCTCATTTTTGTATCTAGGGATATGTTGTGACTTTTGAAGATGGCGCTCATTTTGTTAAAGACCGTTCTTGCCTTTCCTATGCGGCACTTTATTTCCTGTACCTCCACTGTTCGTTTATAATAGTTCCCAGGTAGCAATACTGTTTTACTCGCTCTATCTGCGTCCCATTAATGTATAGATGAGCCCCGTTTATATTCTCCTTGCTGATAATCATTTGTTTCGTTTTGTGGGTATTAATGTTTAGTCCGTACTGTTGACTGTACTCGTTTATTCTGTCCATTAGCCTCTGAAGTCCCTCTAAACTATCTGCTATCACCATGGTGTCGTCGGCATATCTAACATTGTTTACTCTTTCACCATTTAGAAGGATGCCTTTGTCTATTCTATAAAGAGCCTTTACAAACATTCAGTGTTGGAAAATAAACCTAAGGATTACTTCGTTCGGAAGTTAACGGAGATGAGAGGCACAACAAAATTAATGTCGAATTTCACCAGCAGCAACCAAAAAGCAGTAGAGGCATCCTTTCTCGTGAGTTTAAGAATTGCGAAGTGTGGAGAAGCACATACCATCGGTGAAGAACTAGTTCTGCCTGCCGCACAATATATGATAACGTGTATTTTGGGGAGAATTCAGGTAAACAGTATAGGTATCCAACGATATCGATAATGGCATTAAATGTTAAAGAAAAATTGGTAAACCCGCAAAGGTCTACAATGAAAACATGAGTCACTTTCTACAATTTTGATACTGTGCTGTATACAATTGTATGGAGTAAAAAACTAACTTAATTAACGTATATACGGTTACTTACAAGCAAAAAGAAAGTAGAGAAGACAACAATAATACGACTAAATATTATTAGAAGACTACCGATCTAGAGAGACTGACCATGATGTTTCTTAGATATCCATCTGTTCGAAAATAGGTCAAAAATTGTTCTCAGCATCATTCTTTCGAAAGCATTGTTACATATATTGTTATTTTTCTAGTACTGTTATAGTACTAGAAAAATAACTATAAATTTGTTTTCAACCATTAGATTGGCCTCTGTCGATGTCTATGTGTATATTTCTTTTATATTTTAATAAAATTCAAAACGTTTTGTAATAACTTGGAAATTTTTGTTCCACCCTTTGTCAAATTTGGTTCAATAATCATCAACTACGGCTTAATGAATAGTAATAATAGTGACTAAAAATACGCAATACTGGTCATTCAGAGTGACGGCAAAAACCGCAAAAATACATTCACAATAAAAATTCGGTACGAATCAAAGTAACAACATAAAAAATGATAACACAGAAATAACTCTTAGTAAGAAATATAAATAAGTATAAAACAACTATAGATAAAAAAGGGCAGTATTGTTTCTAATATCGGAATTGCAGAAAATCTCTTGCAGTAGTTGTTTTTTTACACTTTGCAACATTATATAAATCAACAACGTGACAGAATCTTAAATTCTAGTAATGTTAACGCAAGATCTAACAAAACCATTAATACACAATACTTAGCACACACAAATACTTAAATTACTTCAGTATAAAAGAACAGTCTATTAAGCAGTTAAAAAACAACTGCGTCAATCACATTCTCTCCGATGTAAGAACCTAAAAATAAGACAAATTCATTAATAAGTAATTTAGAGACGACTCAAATAAAGAAAGAATGCAATAGAAAAGTATTTTTAAAGTGTGTAAAATTTTTTAATATTTAGCTGAGCACTTTTAGCTTACAAAGCCATTCTCAGAGATATGCTTTACGCTACAATAGAATACTAAAATAAGTAACTAATTTAACCTTTCAATAAACGCAGTTTAATTTCAAATCGAGTGGGGAGCCCTTCCACGAAACAGTTAATCGCGCAGACAATAGAATATCTATGATCAGACCCATGCAGTGGCGTTGCAATATTAAACAAATTAAATTATTGAAAATCGCAACAATTACAAAATTACTACTCACTTAAATATTAAATGGAGTTTGATTGTACACAGATTGTTTTATAGATACCAAACTTTTTGTTTGTTATAACACCATCTTTAATAATTGATACTCTATAAAGTTTGGTAAAGGTTAATTTGTAATTTAGTATCAGTTACCTTAAAACCGTAATTATAAAGTCATTATTAATGACTCCTTAACGACCCGTTAAAGACATACAAAGAATTGATAAGAATTATTTCCGAGAATTGGAAACTTATTTCAAACTAGTTCGTAATTTAGTCTCATTATATTGTCGAGTCTCAACAAGGTGCTACCACGCGTATTAGAACTATTTTGTAGAATGGAGATAATTAAGTGTAGTACGAGTAAACAGATCAGATTGACACCAGAATCCAAAGATATAGTTTACAATGTATTTAAATATACGCAAGTATTATTTTATACGCCTAATAGAATTTTGCCAGGAGCACAATGTTATAGCCGCAAATACATTCTTTAAATTACCTAAGCGACGCCCTTATACATGGAAATCGCCAGCTGACAAAGACAACAAAATCGTCAGAAATCAAATTGATTACTTCCTAATAAAACACAGATATAGAAACTCAATTCAGGCAGTAAAGGCATATCCAGGAGCGGACGTATCTTCTGATCATAGTCTTCTTATTGCTAGATTTCAACTTCAACTAAAAAAGACACAAAAAAGCCGCAATAACAATAAACTTAACATACAGAAACTAAAGTCAGAAGAAACAAAAGAAAACCTGAAACACGAAATCAACACAAATCTAGACAGAAACCCAGGAAATAACTGCAACGTAGAGCAGCAGTGGCAATTCTTCAAAACCTCTATATTGGAGCCAAGTAAGAAACTACTTACAACAACTAAATATAAGAAAGAAGAATGGATGACAGAGGAAATTCTAGAGTTGATGAATGAAAGGAGAAAAAACAAAAACCATCAATAAGACGCGCTAATAAACAGCTTCAAAACCAAATAAGAAGAAAAATAAGGGAGGCTAAAGAGACCTACTTCTCTGAAAAATGTAAAGAAATGGAAGAACTTCAAAACAGATATGACAACTTCAACCTACATAAAAAAGTCAAAGAACTAGCCGGAGTAGGAAATAGAAGAACCTCAAATATATTGCTCGACAAAAATGGAAATATTATATTGGAAACAGAACAAAAACTACGACGATGGAAAGAGTACATCGAAGAATTATTTCATGACCAGAGAGAAGCTAGTACATCTGTAGATAGCCAAACGGGAGATGTAGGTCCAGAGATAACCAAATCAGAGGTTAGTCAGGCATTAAACTCAATGAAAACCAATAAATCTGCTGGTCCAGATGAATTACCAAGCGAGCTACTAAAGTTGGTCAACGAGAAAAACCTGGACATAATAGTAGAACTGTTCAACGCTATCTATACTACGGGAATCATTCCTAGAGAAATGTTGACATCAGCATTTGTGTGTTTGCCAAAGAAAGTGAATGCCAAAGAGTGTAGTGACTATCGAACCATAAGCTTAATGTCACATACCTTGAAAATTCTCTTGAAAATTATCCACGCCAGAATACACTCTAAACTGGAGCTGGATATTAGTGACACTCAATATGGGTTCCGCAATGGTATGGGTATCAGAGAGGCATTATTCTCCTTCAATGTGCTGACACAGAGATGTTTGCATGTTAACCGTCCTCTTTACGTCTGTTTTATAGACTACAATAAAGCGTTTGATAAAGTAAAACAATGACTCCTGGAAATTCTAAAAAATAAAACCTAGATGAAAGAGATTTAAGGCTAATAACACACCTCTATTACAATCAGCGAGCAATAGTAAGAATCGAAAAAGAATCATCTGAAGAAATGGTAAATAAAGAGAGGAGTCAGGCAAGGCTGCATTCTATCACCTCTATTATTTAACGCCTATTCTGAAGAGGTAATTCGAGAAACTCTGGAAGATGAAACAGTCGGCATAAGAGTAAATGGAGTCTTAATTAACAACATCAGATATGCAGATGATACAGTAATAATAGTCGATAGTTTACAAGACCTGGAAAGACTCATGAGCAAATTAGTCATGTGTAGTAGGGAGTACGGACTCTCTCTTAATGTCAAAAAGACGAAGTTTATGAAAATTTGTAAAAAACAACTATAATACTAAACGAAATCTTGATAGTAGAGGGCCAGCAGATCGAAAGAGTAAAAAAGTACACTTACCTAGGAAGACTTATAACAGAAAATAATGACTACACGGCAGAAATCAAAGTCAGAATCGAAAAGCACGTTCTAATTTTATAAAAATGAAAAAGGTCCTATGTGGCAAAGATCTAACATTAGCTCTTAAAGTACGCCTAACAAAATGTTACGTATACAGTGTACTATATTATGGAGTGGAATCATGGACGTTAAATCTAGATATCATGAGACGACTTAACGCCTTTGAAATGTGGACCTATAGAAGAATTATGAGGGTTTCTTGGGTAGATAGAGTTACAAACAATGAAATACTGAGAAGAATAGGCAAAGAGAAGGAAATTGAACTTACAATTAAAGAAAGAAAGCTACAGTATCTCGGACATGTGATGCGGGGCGATAAGTATGGCATCCTGCGACTCATAATGCAAGGAAAAATAGATGGCAGAAGAAGCATCGGAAGAAGACGAATTTCATGGCTGAAGAACCTGAGAGAATGGTTTGGATGCAGCTCAAAACAACTATTTAGAGCTACTGCCTCAAAAATTAAGATAGCTATGATGATTGCCAACCTCCGCAGCGGAGATGGCACCTGAAGAAGAAGAAAGTATTATTTTCTGAAGATAATCGAACCAGTAATTAAAACAACGTGTGAGTGAAGCTACTGTAGTATCTGTACGTACAGTAAAAAGCATCATTCAACAAGCGAGTATGTTAACAAAGGCAGAGTCAAATAATACACTAAAATTTCCAGCTCTACAACACTTGCTAAAAGGAAAGCTCAAGTCTGTCAAGGTCTGACACCGTGACAGACTCGAGGGAGTATGACAAACAGTTCATTAGAAATATCATTCATAGTTTTCATGAGACTGAACGTTATCGTGTATCATTGAAGCTTTTGCAGAAAAGGCTTGAAGAGGTGTACAAGTGGACTGGAAGTGTGAGTTCTCTCTACGGAATTGTGAAAGATTTGGAATTTAAATGGAAGAAAACTAAAGATAATCGACGTTTATTAATTGAACGGAATGATATTCGTTGATGTATATTTTTGTATTGTCTTTTTTGAGTATGCTTGTATTATCTATGCTTTGTAACGTTTGTGGTAAGACACAATAAATGTTAAATTTTGATTCTTAACATTTTGTTTATTTTTTTAACTAACCCCTTTTGAGTTTTATTTGAAAAATATATGTTTTTTATGTTTAATAATTATTTACCTAGTTACAACTAGTGGTTGTAATAGGTATAATTAGGCACCTCAAAATGGCGCCCCATATTAAATTACTAGAGGTGTTTCCTGTTTCTTTTTGCTTTGTTTGTCCCAAGAGATTATGTTAGTACCCCTTTGTTTCTTTTTTCTGTAGTTGCCCCAATCCAACCCCCTTATCTTTTACTTATCCACGACCCCAGCTCTCCTAACAAACCCTGAGTGCCGTTCGCACAAGTGGCGTTTATTTTGCTTGCCCTATCTTTAGCCCCATAATCATACCCTGAGGTAGGCATAATATATTCGTTACAACTTTTCTTCGACATGATCTTCTCCCGATTCCTCTTTACCACCATACTCATCACCCGTCGAAACTTCTTTCAAGAGTGCTAACAATACTTTTTGCTCTTTTTCATAATCTATAATTGAAAAATAAAGTTTTATTTTTCAATTATTATGGATTATGGATATTACTGTTTTACAAATTACAAATTTACAGTTCGAGCATCAATACTGTAATGATACACAGTTTATAACTGTACTATCAAAAGAGGGTAAAGAGCCGGAGAAACTTGAAAGCTTAATATGGCTTTAGAACTGACAATCATTGACTCCTACCGGTCTCCAAGACAAGCTGCGTCTACTGAAAGGTTAAGTCTTACAATGTTTCATTGTTTCCCATTGGTGGAAAAATACAACATTATTATTTAAAACGTTAAAAACTTTTAAGTTCCATAAATATTGGCTTGAATAGCATCATAAGCAATAACATGTTGAAATTGACTGAAGTTCAAAATAAGGTTAAATTGAAGTTATCCCTAAAACAATAATTCAAATAATTATATATTATATACAATAAAAAAAACTCCTCTAGTGTATAGAGTTTATAAACCTCATATTTTTTATTTTAAACTTGTTTTCTGTATTTATTTTACTAATTAATTATAAAAAAAAATGATTCATTTCGCGTTTAAAGCCCATTATAATAATTAAAAAAGTACTTATCTGATTTCTGACCCAGTCTATAGAAAATTTAATGGAAATTCATTAATATTGTCATTAAGATAACTTATTTTTAGATTAAAATGGATTAAATACTAATTTTTTGATAAGGGTAGGTAAAAACATTGGGAAGTGTTGTCAGTTTATCTGTAAAACTTTAGCAGTTCATGTATGAAAATCGCACTATCTTTTCAATTAGCTTCATGTAAACTATTTTAAATTATAAAATACTATTAATAAAAACTTACCCATCTACTATATTTTTAATTCTTCAGAAGTTCTGAAATTAGACAGTGTCTTTTTAATCCTGAGTGCAGTAAGTCTTGCAGTTGCATTATGATACCAGCATTCTTTCATTAACTTTGTCATTACATACAATGCCTCACAGCTCTGCCAACGGTTAGGGATGTTGGGTCTTTGTTTATCCCCGCATACAACCCTAAAATAACATTAAATTGATGAAATAAGTAAACAATTAAAAAAAACTTGTTTATTTCACCGACTTATACACAACTTAAAATAACATAAAAACATTTTATTTTAATATGTATAGGGTGAATCATGAGGAACTCTACATATTGCTACCTCATGTGAAGATCCCTATAGGGAATGTCAAATGCTCATTAAAAAATGTCTGCTCTTATAGTTTATTAATATAGAGAGCGAGTTGTGAATTTTGACTTCTGGTCATAATTTTGGAATAATTCAATATGAGCTGAATTTCGATTTAAATTTGATAACGCATAAGAGATTTACGAGAAGTAGATAATAATCAGAATCAGGTAGAACTTACCTTTTCATTTCTTCAATGGTAGGGTCAGGAGGTACAGCGTCATGGAAAGGCAGCTGATATTCATCATATATACCTCCCACATTACATCGCCTGGCAATTTCCCAAAATATTAATCCCAAAGCATAAACGTCTGCTCTCTTGAAAGAATCAAACTGATCAATATTCATGGATTCATCTAAAACCTCAGGTGCCATATATCTTTTGGTGCCAACACGATTATTAAGAGGGATGTCAACAGTATCTGTGGTCACATCATGTCGCACTGCCAATCCTAGATCACCAATAGCGCAAGTACCGTTGGATTTTACGAGAATGTTCTTAGATTTAAGATCTCTGTGAGCAATAGCCGGTTTTCCTTGGGTTCCCATGATGTCCATGTGTAAATGAGCGAGGCCAGTGGCGATGGATAGCGCCATATGAATCATACCACTGCTGTCTAATGTGTTTCTTCCCAGGAAATCGAATAAGGAGCCATGTTCATGGTAGTCTGTTATTAACCATAGTTGTGTCCAGGTACCATTGTCTGAAATTAGGAGAAGTATGAGAATTTTTGCTAAAAATATTATACTTATTTTAAACTTACCCTTATTATCAGCAGCGATAAAACCTAAAATATTATCATGTCGCAACATGACAGTCTGGTAAATTTCGGCTTCTCTAAACCAAGACCTCTCTTCTCTTGAGCTAAAAATCTTCACTGCAACGTTCTCCCCTCTCCATCTCCCTTTCCAGACTTCACCGAACCTTCCTTGACCGATAATTTCCACAAGTTGTATCTGACGAGCAATACTGCGTTGAACCAATAACGGCAGACCTGAAAAACGATTTGATTTTAATTTAAATATGATAATGTGCCATTATTATCCTAATATAATCCTTATACTAAAGAAGAAAACGCATTTTCAGAAGAAATAGCGATTGAAAAATGTGTCAGACAGGTTTGTGTACTGGCCTTGTACAGATTACACTGGTCTAATAGCCGAGTGGCTGGAATACCTACAGCAAACAGTTGACAGTATTACAAATGGTAGACTGAAAGTAGTAGATGTTAGAAAAACCGCTTATTTGATACCATAAACATAAACACATAATGAGAACGAACAATATAACTCGCTTCAAATGCAAGAGAGAACGCATAGCAGTCGAGGAAGTAATTTTCCTGGTTGAACAAGTCCAGGACCTAGTCTGAATGTAGTCCCGTTGAGAATATATAAAAAATATGAACAGCAAAGGTTAGTATGAAAAAAACCTTTGGACATGTTGAAAAGAATCGTTCATTATCGCCAGAATCGGCGTAATTTTGGGAGTTCCTCTTTCCTACAATCCCTTCTCACTTACACTGAATTTTTTAACTGTATTAGAATAATTTCTTCGTTATTAACAGTACTGCTGTTACTGTATTCTATTTATCTGTTAGTTATTTGATAAATTACTGATCAAATTGTCATTCATGTAATTTTACTTCTGCAAAAAAATTAGGATTTCTCGAAAGAAAGCAAATTTAAGGTGGTAAACCTGCTAATAAGTAGTCATCTAAATACCATTGAGCTAACGACAAATCAATGTGCTGTGAGGAATCTTTATTAATTTTAGGACTTGTCGTGCTTTTATCCCTGTTTAGGATATTTATTATCTTCTACAGGACCTGTGGTTGTTATTTTCTTCTGCTCCATACAAAGCCTATCCTGAGGTGTTGTAGTTGGCTGGAGTGTAGCATAGATGGAAGTCTGCTTGAGATGATTTTCTGAGTTGGAGGAGAGGGTAGCTGACTGTTTAACATATTTGCAATGACGCTTTTGTAGTTTGAGAAAAAAACAATATACATACAACAAAAACTTTTTGTTAGTAATAAGTTTTTAGTAGAAGTTGATGAGGAAATAGTTCCGGCTGTTTCCTTCCGACGAACAGATATCGTTGCGCAATGAGATTGGTTCGATGTAGTTTTGAAATAGGATTGACAGTGGATGAAGTTTTTGGATTTTGGGTTTGTGGATTCGTACGTTTCCAAAGGTTGCACAGGAAGCTTTTAGAATAATTTTGAGGGTAAAATTCCTGTTCTAAGAGTTTATCCTCTCGATAACTGTGAGTATATTTAATACAGGAAAGAAAGTACCGCCCTTTGGTATACAACCAACTAGAAATTATGGTATACAGCCACCTACTGGGATTTTCCCCTTTTACTTTGTAATTATTTTAGTTCAAATTTAAACCTTCCTAGTTGAATTTCCTTCAAATTACTGGGCAGCTTATTATACAAGATCAGGCCATTTGAGCATATGCTTCTTTGTGCATTGTACGCATTCTTTCTGAATGAAAGTACCTTTTTGCCTAGTATTAGAGTCATATACATCTTTGGTCAGTTTTGGGGCAATATTTGTAAGACTTGAGAAAGTTTACATTCAATATTGAGTATTCCTCTTGGAGGGTACAGATCTTCTGTTGGATGAAGACGTGGCAGTTGAAAAACATATTTAATAGCCCTGTTTTAGAATACCGTAAGAGGATAAAGCTGTTTGTGATTGGTATTACGCCATATGATGTTAAATAAAACAGATGTGAGTTTATTAGATAATAATACACCATTTAACGATGAGGAAGACTTATAAATTTAGCAATTCTTTCTACCATGCCCACTATTATGGAGCTATTTTTTGACAAATCTGTAATATGTGTTCTTCCCAAGTAAATCGCTTTAAACCACTTTAAACCGAAAATTTAAATTTTCCAAAGTTCAACTGCATCTCCCTATGTGCATCTACGTTTGAAATTATCATATAACTGCACTTAATCATATTAAGTAAGAGTTTGTGATACTTAAACCACTCTTTTTTCCATTTCTTTAAACTCATTTACCTTTTCTACATAAGTTTCTAATTTTCTGGGATCTTTATTGGCATACAAAAGGCCAGTGCCATCGGCATACAGATACATATACTGCAGTGGTAGCCATACTCCATATATAATATGTTCTGTTGCGCTAAGTACATTGTTACATAGCACTTTTTGTATTCTGCCACTTAGATAGTCCTTCAACCAAACTAAAGCCATTCCAATTATTCTATATTATTCAAGCACTAAAATAAATACGTAATGGTCAACTGTATAGAAAGCTTTTTTGCAACTCCTATGATACACATACAGAACTTAGCATTTGTCTAATGTGTTGTATATGTCTGTAATTAAGTCAGCAGCAGCAAAGACTGTGATTGAATTATGTCGAAAGTCAGATTGTGATTAAACCAGTAGCTGGATGAATCAAATAATTGAACAATTGGGTTATTTGTACATGATTGGCATGGCTGTTAAAAGAGATATTGGCCGATAATTTCCAAGTTGCTTTGAGTCTCCTCATTTATACAGATTGAACGAAATAAATTCGGAACATAGGAATATAATGTATTTCGGCTCAATTCTGCTGTAGCTGGTTGGCCAACAAAAGATTGTCAAATAATTATATTATAAAAAATCCCATACTTCAGCGAGCTGCTGGATTCTGAACTCATAAAAATTGAAAGCTTCACATAAATCTACGATTATGCTGTCAAACCAGTTATAGTCCAGGAAATGTAGCATTTCACCTCGCAATTTTTTCGTGCGGCGTGGATTGACTTGAAATTTAACAGAAGGTAGGTAATAGCCTAAGGATCAAAATCTATATCGAACCAAAGTGCGCCAAAGTCTAGGGGATGGTTGCCACCCCATCACCGGGGTGAAAATTTTTTTACGTTTTAATACAGGTTTCGATTAGAAAAGTGATTCTAAACAAAAAATGTGCTATACATTTTTTTTTATAAAATGATATTTTTCAAGTTATTCGCGATTGAAAGTAACAACTTTTAGACGAAAAAATCCACGTTTTTAATCGATTTTTCGCGAATAACTCGAAAATGGTGCATTTTATCAAAAAAATTGTAGAGAACAAATTTGTAGCTTTTAAAAAGACAAATACAATTACAAATACAATATCAATGTTCAGCGGTTTTCTTCAAATGCCAAATTTGAAAGATTCAAAGTCAAATATCGGGAAAATGATGCATTTTTGGAAGAAAACTCACAAAACCTTTTTTAAAGAGCATAAATAGACCTATCATAAAAAAATAAGGTCAATACCTCATTTTTTACGAAAAAATCGAGGAAAACAACACCCTAACCACCCCCATAATTAAAATCGATCTTCACACTTCTGCAATTCCCTTTGTAGATGTATTGTTAATACGTCCAAGAAGTTTGACCCATTTAAAATGTTTAGTTTTAGAAAAAGTACAGCTTAAAGCGAGAAACAGCTTTTTTTAAATATGCCCGAAAATACTGAATATATGAAAAAAATAAAAATTACCAAATTGTAGCTTTTTTAATGACTAAAATTATCCTTTATTTAGATTTGTTGTACAATGAATATTTGGCGAGATATAGCCGTTTAAAGCATCGATTTACGATCAAGCACCATCTTTTTCGAGCCCTTTAAACTCACCCCATTTAAAAACCAAGGGTTCCAAAAAGATTTAATTCACAGATCCTTGTAGCTATTAAAAACCTCTACAAATCGTTTTTAAAGAAAACATCTATCGTTAAAAATTAAAGGAGATACGTTAAAAAAAACCAGTTAATTTTTTTCCGGAAAATTTCATTAGTATAGTACAGTACATTTCGGAGCATAATAATCTACAAAACCGGTATATTAGCTAGTGGGGCGTTATACATTCGAAATTTTTAAGCGTTCTTATTTTGAAATCCCATACAACAGAATAAAACATCTGCTCATATGTCTATGGCTTGGCAATGAAAATATCAGAGCAACAGATTGGGGATGCTTTTCCAAAGATGATTTGTTATTACCCGTACGCATGAACAAACAAACCTGGACACCGATAAATTTTTGAAAATTATTTTTTGCCAATGCAAAAAAGGATGTGGCGTTTCATATGGGTGCAGAAAAGTTGGTTTATACTGTAACTCTACTTGTTCTGGGTGCTCAGGTGAAGGGTGCATAACAGTCCACCAATAATTGAGAAAGATGATGATGACATAGATCAAGATTGAAGATGTAATTGATGACGAATAAAATTAATATTATTAATTGTTTTACCTATAAATGTAAATATTTTCAACTATTTATGTAAATGGTATAAGAATATATGGTGCCTTTTTATGTTGATAATTTTTTTTGTATTTAATTCTACTTTTTTCAATTTATATCTTATAAATTAGTTTATAAAAACTTCAATGTTGGAAAGGGTGATTTTCAAAAGTTTGAAAAGTTGCAAAATTTTGGCAAAAAATTGTTTTCACTTATAGCACTCATAACAATTGATTTTTAAGGGTTGAAAATGTATAAATTTGTATTTTAAAGTATAAAAAACTCATTATTTAACTAATCCAAACCAAATTTTCACTCATCTTAGGATTTGTAATATTATTTTACAATTTTTTAAAATTAGGGGTAGTTTTCACCCCTAAGAACAATCAGGGTTCATCGGCATGACATAAACTATAAAGCAGAGGGTGAGTTGAGCTTAATTCCAAATTTTTATGCAAGTCGTTTCAAGGTGAAATCATTTTCTTTGCATTACTAATTTTTTATATTAATCTCTAATGAGGGTCGCTTTTTAAGGGTTGAAATATGATGGAACTTTATTGAAAAGCACGAAACTATCATTATTTAATTAATTCAAACCAAATTTTACCCATATTCAGGTTTAATATGTTATTTTATAATTTTTGACAATTAGGGGTAGTTTTCACCCCTAAGAACAATCAGGGTTCGTCGACATGACATAAACTATAAAGCAGCGGGTGAATTGAGCTGAAATCCAAATTTTATCCAAATCGATACAAGGCGAAATCATTTTTTTAGAATTAGTAATTTTTTACATTAATCTCTAACAAGGGTTGCTTTTTAAGGGTTGAAATATGATGGAACTCTATTCAAAAGTATAAAATAATCATTATTTAATTAATTCAAACCAAAATCTTACCCATATTCAGGTTTAATATGTTATTTTATAATTTTTGACAATTAGGGGCAGTTTTTCAACCCCTAAAATCCATCAGCGCACTTCGGTTCGATATAGATTTTGATCCTTGGGCTATTACCTACCTTCTGCTAAAAAGTTCAACTGGATACATGCAGGACGAAAAAATTGCGAGGTTTTAACTTTTTTCGAGCTTCAATTCCTGAACTATTATTGCCTCCTTAGACAAACCCGTCTTACGCAAACAACTTTGTTGCGAGACAGATAGTTGAACGATATTTTATACAATGTCTATACCCAGGTATGGATTTATTTTTGTCCAAGTTTTCTGTCTGTCCACTATTTTAAATGCAGTTCAAACAGACATGTATTAAATTGTATGTTCCGTTTTAATTTGGTTCAATCTGTATATACAATGGTACCACTATCGCCATTTTCATAGGGTTTGAGATTAATCCAGTGAAAATAGAGAGGTTAACTAATTTAGTTATAATCGGTAGCAGCTCCTCTGTAAACTCCAAACACTGTAATAATATCCACACTAAAGCAATCGCAGCCTGGATATTTTCCTTTTCGCAGCCATCGCGGACCTTTATGATCAGTCGCTCAAGCCAGACTTGATCGAAAGCTTTTTGAACATCAAGGAACGTGAATATGACGATGTTGTTGTTATTTATGGATTTGTGTGACTGTTGGTCTAATAATTGACATGTGATAATTCTGCCAAATCGGTGAAAATGAAAATATAAATGACCAAACGTCATAAAAAAGTGAAAACAAAAGACCAAACGCATGTGAGAGTAACAAACTTGTGCCACGATATAAACATTTGTCAATTACTTATTTTTTAGAAATACCTATAAAAACTTACCAGATCCACTTCCACTGGTTGTCATTTCGATCATATGCTTCAAACTAACGCCTTTGTTGAGGATGGGATGGTCCGGAGCTTCGATGCTGTCATCAACGTGCCTTAGATGGTGATGCATACCTCGTCGTTGATGAGAAGTATGGAAAAAGTACGCGGCACCGATGATGATGCATAATATCAGAGTAGGGATGACTATCGAGGCAGCAATTTCCAAAGATGTGAATGACTTGGTCGCTGTGTCTGTTACTGTAATGTATTCCAATTAATATATATTAAGTGATATTAAATTTACATAGTTTTGAACGAATCTGGAAACATTTTGAGTAATATTAAATGCTCTCAATACGAAATCTTTGAAATTATCAACAAAATTATTAAATAAATTATACACTAATTGTATGCCATAAAGCTCAGCAAATTAGAAAATATTGGACCATTAACTTTAAAAACTACTTAAATATATTAATTTACTAACTTCAATCTTAACGACCAGTAATTTAATTCGTTTTTAATTTGTTTATTTATTAATAAATTGACAGTTTTAAATTAAAATAATAATAAAGTAATTAATTGCGTAAATGGCTCCTTTTTTTTCAAACCAATCAAACCCAAACTAATTTAGAATTTCTAATGTTACATTATTTTCGGGGTTACAAACCGTGATCTGATTTTTTATTTCTGACGTTTCGTCTACAACAATAGCAGACATTATCAAAGTGAAGTCGGTAACGCTCATAACTTTATGTCGCTCATCAGTGACTAAGTTAACAAAAATCGCCGTCTTTTGCTACAAAGAAATCAATCATACTGTGCTAAACTGTAAATCTGAACTTTTAAATTTGATTGAACACTTTAACTGCCAGGTAAAATCGGAGTAAATTTTGTATCGTGTTTTCTGTGCTAAAATATTGTTTCTTCTTAATTACTCTATTTGTGTTTGTTTTTAGCAAAAATCTTAACATCAGATTTGTTTTTTGGCTATTTTTGTAAAAATTGCTGTGTCCTGAAATGGTGCACGTAGCCTGCGATTGTGAAATTGTTACTAATGTCTAGTTGCAGGCAATGTGTATCACAGATGGACACTGAAGGTCAACTGTTATCTTTTCAGTGAGAGTGAGATAGTGGCACGTGAAGATGTTTCAGTAACGACTTCACGATTGAAAAAAGTTAATATGGCGCACAATAACAAACAACATCGTTATTTAGAGTTGAAATTAGAAGCAGAAAAGGCTGTCGGTGAGTTAGAGAAGTTTAAAAAAAATGAACATGAGTGATGATTTTTCGAATTATTCGGATTCGGATCCTACATATAATATAGATGCAGCATTGACGAGTGAATCCGACAGTGAATCTGTAGCAAAAAAAAGGAAAATTTTGAGAAAAGGTTTGTACACTAAAATTTTACATAAAAGATTGGCTTCACACAAATGAATTTACGTTTATTTTACATATTATAAATACATCATTTAAATTGACACAAAACCTTGTAGAGTAAGCATTATTTGAAAATTAACTAATATATCGATATTTTTTTGTAGGAGACTTACACCCCAATACTTCTGCAGGACCATCCCGTGTTCAGTCATCCCCAGTAATGGAGTAAGAATCAGACAGTTCTTTGACTCAAGATGATGATTTTTTGGCAGATACTGTTGGGCCAGAAGAAAATTCTTTACAGAATTCAAACTGGGGACCTGTTTCCAGAAATTTTCCAATTTTCGATTGTCCTTAGAACTTCGATATTGCTGAACATTTGAAAAATAAAATGGCTGGTAAGAATGAACTGTTTGTCTCTGAAGATGTTATAAATATGATTGTCCTCGAAACAAATAGGTATGCAGAGCAACAAATTCTTACTGGAATAATAAATGAAACAATTACGAAAGAGTCAGGTTTTAATTATTGGAAAGAGACTAACGACACTGAAATGCGTACATTCATAGCGCTCCTTCTTTGGATGGGACTAGACTCAAAGCCGTCATTAGCTTATTACTGGCGCAAAATTTAATTATATAAAAGTGTTATTGCGAAATACATGCCCCGAAATCTGTTCGAATTGATCTTGCGCATGTTTCATCTAGCAAGCAATGACGAGTGTTCTGAAAATGACAGACTTCATAAAATTAAATGTCTGGTCAATAAAATGAACGCTTATTGTCATCGATGTATGACTCCTGGCTCAACTGTTTTTTGGAGTTTGGAATAACAAAAGTTTGGAATAAAGCTGTTTAAAATTTATTTGTTAGAAGGTTATATCTATACAATTGAAATATATTGCGGAAAAAAAAATTTAATGGACAACCGGTTACTGAAAGGGTAGATATGGAAATGATTAAACCTTTATTGAATCAGGACAGGACTCTTATTTCGGACAACAGGTACACATCAGTTAACCTTGCTGAAATTTTAAAAACTAGTTCCACTCATATTATTGGAACGTTAAGAAAAAACCGAAAGAATCTTCCTAAAGATGTTGTAGAAGAGAAACAAAAATGATATTTTATGAAATGGCATCACAAGATAGACGTACTTTTTCTATCTACAAAAGATAGGGACGATATGATAGAGGTAACGCATAGGGAAGGTCCTATTAACCTTGCTGAAATTTTAAAAACTAGATCCACTCATCTTATTGGAACCTTGAGAAAAACCGAAAGAATCTTCCCAAAGATGTTGTAGAAGCCAAACTCATAAAGGATAGATCAGTGCCTAACAAAACAAAAAATATATTGTAGTTATGAAATGACCATGGAAAATGTAGTTATATGGACTTAGCCAAAGAAATGACAGAGGAGAACGCTTGATACACTTTTGTATAGACAACAACCTGTTAGTTACTAATACAGGCTTTCAACATCACCCAAGACGACTATACACTTGGATATCACCAGGAAATAGATACAGAAATCAGATAGATTTTATACTGGTAAAAACCCGTTGGAGGAGCGCTGTTAAGGATGTTAAGACCTATCCAGGAAAATATTGTAATAGCGACCATCAATTTTTATCAGCTGAATTCCGCATGAAGTTAATAAACAGTCCAAAAACAGGAAATACAACAACTAAATGACATATAAGATATAAAGATCCGTACAAAAATGCCGCAATGCAAAAGCTATGTGACCTCACACAATCATTAAATCCAGAAGAATCCTCAAATAGCATATGGACAAAAACAAAATCCATATTGCATAATGCTGCGAAAAACATTAAGAGTGATAGAGAAGAAAGAAGGAAACAATGGATAACAGACTCCACGTGGACTAAAATACAGGAGAGGAAGTGCTTAAAAGCCACAGGACTGAACAGTGAAAGTGATAAAGAGGCCTATAAAGCGCTGAACGGTCAAATAAAACGACTCTGCAAAAAGGACAAGAACACACACTTGAACAAAATCTGCATGGAAATAGAAGGGCATAAAACCAAAACTGAGACCAGAGACATGTTTAAAAAAATAAAGCAGATAACACGTTCCTTTACACCAAACTACCTTGCTATCAAAGATGATAACGGAACTCTACTCACTTCTAAAAAAGATATTTTACACAGATGGAAAGAATACTGTGGACGACTGATGATGGAGGAAAGCACAGACGCCCCATCACAACAAGAAGATGCCAGTTTTGCGACGGAACCTGACGTACTCAAAAGTGAAGTTGAAGCAGCAATTATGAGGCAAAAAAGTCAGAAAGCTGCCGGTCCAGATAACATACCTATTGAAATGATTTGGGCCCTAGATGACGTTGGAGTGGATATAATACATCAAATTTGTCAAAGAGTGTGGGAGACAGGTAAATGGCCTGAGGACTGGACACAATCACTATATATTCCCATACATAAAAAGGGAGCGAAATATTTATGTAGCAACTATCGCACAATTGCTCTAATTGCGCATTGCAGTAAGATACTCTTACACATAATTCTCGAGAGGATAAAGCCCTTTTTACTACCTAACATTGCGGAGGAACAAGCAGGTTTCGTCCCGGACGTGGTACTAGAGAACAAATTTTAAACGTACGGCAGATTGTAGAAAAATCCAGAGAATTCAACATCACAACATATTTGTGCTTCATAGATTATAGTAAAGCTTTCGATTTGGTCAACTGGAGTAAAATGTGGCAGGTTTTGTCTGAAATGGGAGTCCCCAATCATCTGATACTGCTAATTAAAAGCCTGTACAATAACAATTATGCCAGAGTTAGAATAAATGGGGAACTAACCGATAGTTTCAGGGTCACAAAGGGCGTGAGACAAGGCTGCATACTAAGCCCAATTCTATTTAACATCTATGGTGAATGGATAATGCGGAAAGCTACTGAGGACTGGAACGGTGGCATCACCATTGGCGGGAAGAAGATTTGCAACTTGAGATATGCAGATGATACTACTATCCTCGCTAGTTCTGAAGCTGAATTGATTCACCTGCTACAACGGATAGAAGACGTAAGCTTAACGATGGGCCTTAAAATAAACAGAGATAAAACGAGAATCATGATAATTGACAGAGCTAACAACAATCAAAATCATCTGGTCATGATAAACAATATCGCTGTTGTAGATAAATTTGTGTATCTGGGCTCATTAATAACCAACAAAGGAGGCTGTACTGAAGAAATAAAGCGGCGGTCAGCAATCGCAAAAAGCGCTATGGCAAAATTAACAAAAATTTGGAAAAGCCATGAAATAACTACCGATACAAAAATGAGACTAGTAAGAAGTCTAGTTTTTCCAGTTTTTACTTATGCATCGGAATGCTGGACCCTTACTGAGAAAGAAAAAAGAACATAGATGTATTTGAGATGTACTGCTGGAGACGAATGCTGAGAATACCATGGGTGGCCCGAAGAACAAATGAATCCATACTGGACCAGCTAAACATAAAGAAAAGACTAAGAACACAAATATCAGAACAAATAATAAGCTATTTTGGACATGTGCTTCGAAGAAATGGTCTTGAAAAACTTACCATCCAGGGAAAAGTAGAAGGCAAAAGAAATAGAGGTAGATCTCCCACACGATACACGGACCATATTGTTGCTACCATTGGCACTCCATTGTCAGAATGTGCTAGAATGGCAGAAGATAGAAAAACGTGGAGGAACATTGGGAAATTTAGCTAATAGCTTCATGATATCACGATACCTGCATCAGGTTAACGACTAAGAAGAAGTTATGAAATGTCATGACAAGAGAGACGTACTTTTTCTATCTACAAAACATAGAGACGATATGATAGAGGTATCGCG